CAATCGGTAGCGGTTCCATCTCTGATTTCTTTTTTTTTTTCATTACCAGGTGGTGATGGTGATCGAGGTTTTTCTTGGCTTAATTCAACAAATAATCGTTGATCACCTAGTGTTGGACTTAGCCATTTATTGATAACATATCTAAATAATCGACAGAATATTTAATGTAATGAAAAATCATAAAATCAATACGAACTCTTGTTGTTGTGAAAGCATTTGAACTTTAATATTTTTTAAATACCAATCATTAACTTTACCTAATCCTTCATGACCAATTACAATTCGTTGAATCTTTTTTTTCAAAAAAAAGAAAAAAACATTTTAAATAAAAAATTTTTATTTGATAATCAACCATTACTTCTCCGACATTATTGCTTGCGATAGTAAATTTTGATATTGAATCTTTTGTAAATGAAGCATTTTTTGTGTCGAAAAAAAGTTTAGGTGTTGCTGTTGTTGTTCCATATACTTGCATATATACTGGTGAATCTAATGGTTCAATTTGTTCATCACCGGTTTGAATTTCTACATTATACATAACAGCTATAATAAAAAAAGCAACAAAAACAAAAAACAATAATTTCACAATATTCTTAATATAATAATCTTTTTTTTTGTTAACCTGGTTGTTCAGAACCAAAAAGTTCAGCTTCTAATTTTTGATCATTTTTCAATCGACTTAGCCATCGATTAGCTACAAATCTAAATAATTGAATAAATCATATTTTCTATTATTTTTATAATTAACAGAGACTATACCTAACTAAAAAATTATGAACAGATATTTCTATATAATCGATATACCATCCAGTTAAATTATCTTCATGTCGAATAATAATACGTTGTGGTTTACCAATATCAATAGCATTAATTCGAAATTTTCTTGTACAACCTTGTGAAAATGATTTATCATGTCCTGATAATAATAAATCTTGTGTTTGTTTATTATCTCGACCAAATATATTAATATAAACAGGTCCATTTGTACCAGAATTTCGAAAATCACCTGTTTTTACAGTAATTGAATATTCAATATCTAGAAGAAGATTTATATTTTAATTATAAATATCATAGCTATTTTATCACTTAACTTGAATTTTGAACTTTATTCACTGGTATAATTGGTCGTTCTGATGATGGATCCGATTGATCTGCTATATAATGAAAAAAAATATATAAATCAATTTCAAATAACAAAAAAAGAATTCTATATTTAAACCTACAAATTTGTTTTTTAGGATCCATACCATCTGTCTTATTACCGAAGCAGCAAGACATGAGTTATATAAAAAGATTCTTTGACTTACGTAGTGAGCAAAGGCAGAAGAAAAACAAAAAGAAAATCCTTTTTTTTCTCTTCCTGTCTGACGATTAACGCTTAGATTAAAATGCAAAATCGACTTCCATTTTCACTGTCTTTCTTCTTCTTCTTCTTCTTCTTCTTCTTCTCCTTGTTCTTCGTTCTTCTTTAACTTCTTTTGATGCTCTTTATATTACCTGAATAATTGACAAGAATTTGCTACCATATATAAAAAGCTGTCTTTCCACTTTTATGCATATGTTGACATAGCAACAAATTCTTCGTTAGGTTTTTATGTAAAATAATTTTCATTAAATAATAACGAAGGGGAGTTCTCGTTTTTTTTTCATTCATCTTCAATAGTAATGATGATGATTTTTTTTTCTTAATAAAAACAAAATTCATTGATATGAATATACGTCAAAAATGAAATGATCATGTTTTCAGATTAAATTACTCAATTCGTATATGGAGTAATAAAATACGTTATTGTCCTTGATGTTTTATTCCAATATGTTATATGAGAATTTAAAAAAAAAGATCACACGCAATTATGAGTAATAAAATTTATCTTACCATCGAAGTGTTTGTGTTGTAAGATAATAAGATTAGTTATAATCGAGTGAAATTAATGCTCACATTACCAAACTAACAAATTGCAAATATAGGCTGTTGTTAGTATGCCTAAACCAATATATACGAATTTTAAACTACTAACGGTATATGTAACGTACTCACAAATTAAAATTTCAACAGAATTTTCTTTTCGTGATACTTGGATAGAGTTCGTCGAGTCGAATTGAGAAAAAATATGTTTCAAATTTAAAAAAGAATGTTTTTTTTTATGAAAATTAGAATTTTGGGTTTATTTTTCCTTTTATGTGAAAATTTGAATCTTGGTCCAGATACCCCAAAAATAACCTATATTTTAAATTTGCTAGTTTAGCGGTGAGAGTTTTAATTTGATTCGAATATATTTAGCCGTACAACACAAATACTTTCATTGTAAGATGAGTCATTTGTATAACAATCTGAATCGAAATTTTAGAAATTCATTATTATCTCTTAACAATGTTAATTCGAATTACAAAATCTAGAGTAGTATCAAAAAGAGAATAATTTTGTTTTATGGAATGTTGAACATGCCTCATAATATCTAAAACAACGACTCTATTACAGGAATTGCATTACTTCCTGTCACTTCGTTGTTTGTCAAATGCAGACAGTTTTTAATATATTAATATTCTAATCAGGATTGTGTTTTACCTAAGGCTATCAACAAAACAGGAAAAAACAGTAGGAATCTAAACGCGCATTGAAATATGGAATATCCGAGAAATCCTGCGGGAAATAAAAACATAAACAGCTCTTCAGCAGGTTAAACGATTTATACATAGTTTTTATAGTTTGATGTTATTTTCATTAAAATTAAAATAGTTTCGTCCATGATCGAATTGAAATCAGCCACTAGTGTTTAGAAAAATCATGTCACTGCAAAATTGTATTAGGACTAGATTCTTACGATTGTGTAAAACTAGAACTGTTGAAATTTCGTCATGTTGACGAATACGTAGAGTCATTTCTGAAAAAAAATTCAATGAAGTTAATGATACTTATAAAAATAAGTCGGAATCAAGTGTTCAATGTATGAAACTCATCTTCATAGAGCTGTTAAATAAATTACACTTTTAAGACTTTAATAAGAGATATTTCATCATTACTCAATGGGTTATCGTTCGTGGTATTAAACATGTTTATGCAACAAACCGAATACTTGATCTTAGTTTCTTTTCACAAGTGTCATTAACTTCATTGAATTTGTCTTCACAAATTACTCTATGTCTTTCTCAACATGATAGACTTTTGACAGTTCTGGTTTTACAAAATTGTTGGAATCTAGTCCTAATGCAATATTGAATTGACAGGATTATTTTAAACATCATTCTACCTAAGATCGATCGAATAAAATTTTAATGAAGGTAAGAACAAACTGTATAAACAATATGTAAATCGTTTGAACTGCTGAAAAGCTATTATTCATGTTTCTTTTTCGTCTAGACTCTTGAGACGTCCCGAATGTATGAAGATTTTTTTTGAAAATATATTGAGAGAAAATCCTTAGAAATTTTATTAATTAACTCTTTGTGTTTATTTATAACTTACCATGATTTTAAGTAGTTAACAGTAATAATGTGCTTCTACAAAGTAGAACTGATCGTCATTTTGATACTTCAGATAATTTGCTATTTGAAGGCATACGTATAATGAAAAATAATATGCCGCTTGATAGAATTCTCTTTCAAAGAAAATTTATATATAGAATTTGAGCTCTCTTTTTAAATTAAAAAAAACAGATGCACACATAGTTAATGATGCATAGCATACACATTGTAAAGACTTTTGATGAACGGACAAAAAATGTCAAGTGAATAATTTTTATTTAACAGACTTGTCTTGTAATTAGGCGATATTCCCATAGACACGTGACAGAAATGAATAAATATGCAATATCAAAATTACATTTTTGAAGAACATTGATGAACGTAAGTTTTAAGTTGAAATCTTTCAGCTTCTCTTCTTCTCCATTACAGACCTTAGCAACCGGGCTTAAAGAAAATAAGAAGTTTACATAGCAAACAACATTAGTTGAAATTTTAAAATCGAAGAGAAAAGTAAGTAAAGAAAAGAGTGTAGAATTAAGGTACTAATATGTGCACTAGTGATAGTGAGGCAATGTTTTTTTCTTATTGCAGTTAGTACTTTAGCATCTATCTGTAACTGTTTCAGTTCATGAGAAATATTATCTTAGTCATTTATTAATTCATCCATTTTGACTGTTATCGTATAAATTTTTTTTTTTGATGATATCATAAAAACAATAGTGTTGCTCTATAATGAACAATAAAATGAATTCTTTATTATAAACTAATTAACGTCATATTGAAAATGATATTTCATTGCATAAAAAAAATTTATACTAAATTATGTGCTAGCTTATATAAAACATATGAGTTTCACGTTTCAGCCCCAAAGGGATTGGATTAGCCAGCTTTTCTTCTAAATTAAGATAGTAGCTTCTGGAAAAAAGATTTATACTGTGTATATTATCATCAAAAAGTTTAAGACAGATGATATCGAGCTTTTTTCAATATGTTTGATTGCAGAAATGTAGTGATTAAGTTGATATAAAGTTGCCACTTAAATTACATCAAATAATATCTTACTTTTATAGTCTTTTTATTTAATAACTACGTGAGAATAACAAAGAAATTTTTTAAATCTATTATTCATATAAAGAGGCATCAATGCATAAGGCAGAAAAGAAATCAGCACCGATTGTCAAAACACCAGACCGGTTCCATCTGTGGCTTAAAGAGTAAATATTTTTTGTTGTTAAGATATTCTTTTTTTTGAAAATTAATTTAAGAAAAAGTGTATTTATTCATTGTGTCAAAGATATAGAATGCTTATAAAGTCAGTTTTTTGCGCATTAAATAACATTTTTCATCTTTTTTTTTTGTCTAAGTTTAAGATCTTCTTAAGATAATTTTTTGTAAATCGAAATAATCCAATTATCAATAAACTTCTATTATTTTAGCGCTAATTCAAATACATAAATCTTTAGCAACGAAAATTATTCTTTTTTTGTTTAAGTACGTTTTGACTTTTTTCGTGTTAAAGTTTTTATTTGTATAATAAAATGGCCGAAGAACAAATAAATCGTCTTGAATCAATCATTAAAAATTGGTTAAATAATGGTGCACAATGTAATTCATCATTAAAACCTTATACACGTTCACTTTATCCAACATATAATCCTGGTATTCGAACAAAACGTATCGATCATAATTTACATAAATCTAAAACTAATAAAAAATCAAATCATAATCAATTAATTGTATCAAATCAAAGTATGATGATTAAAATGTGTGAAGATTTTCTTCGGCATAATCGAGAATTATTAAACATTTGAAAACTACAAAATGATCTATTCAACAAAGAAATACACAGTCGTTATTTCATAGATATTTATAGTTAAATCTTTTTTTTTTTGATATAAAAGTATACCGAGTGTGACAAAAGTTTTGCGACATTCTTTTGTTTTGCATGTAACTCTGCTCAGAAACATGATAGAGCGTTGATCTTTTTTTAAAGCGGTGCAAAGCACAGCATTTCTGTAGTTGGTCGCATACCCATTTGACCTCCATACTATGCGTATTTTACGCTGTAACAAAATCTGTGCATTGTGTCGCAATGTTCTCGAGAACCTTGTCTCGAGATGATACAAAGGCTTTTGAATTCTTAATATGAGTTTTCGTCCATCCTCAGTAAGTTCGATCAAACGATGATTTTGATGATTTGGCCTTCATCTTTTATCTATGATAATTGAAATTCGGTGAGTTAGTGTCTAATCAACTGTTGTGAACAAGGTTAAAAATGTAAACCTTCGACAAGACAGGATCAACTCTAGGTGAAACCGTTTATTATTCTTATGTTAATTGACATAGCATTGCCGAAAATTGAGGTCGCTTCGTGCCACATTTATGTAGTCCTTTGCGAGATTTCTTTTTACGTTTTACTTACTAGGCATAAGCATCGAAAGTTATCATTTTTTGTTGCAATGGTATCGAGAACAGAGAATGAGAAAATACGCAGATAGACAGACGTTCTTGTACTACTTTATTCACGCATCAAAGAAGATGATGGATTTGCAGATAATCTTTTTTTGTATGAAACTCTTATATTTGAAATCGAAGCCAATTATATTTCTTAAGCTATTTACCTTTGTTACATTATAAATAACAAGAGTAAAAACAAGCTTATTGCAGTTCCAGCAACAGAGAGAATATGTATCTCATCAAACAACGATGTATCGGTTAGTGAGATCAGCATTTAGTTTTTTGCTAGGACTTTCGTAAGCTTTGAATTCCTACTATTCATAGCGTAACAACAGTACATACCTTAAGTGATATGCTTTCAAATAAAAGGATTTCCTACTGAAAAAGGTTTTTTACAAATTGGCGCTGTCAAAACAACTTCTACTTTCTTTGATATGTGATTTTAATAATCATATACGTCATTGAAATTTTTATTTTTATTCATATTGACGTCAAAAAAAAGAGCGTTGCAGTTAATAAAATAGGTTTCATTTAATTTTATTCCGGAGTCTAAGAAAATAGTTCATTCTTCTTGGAAACGAAATTGACATATTTACTTTGTTAAAACAAAGCGGATTTTTCTTAAATAATCCAATAAATCTTTCAATTTCGGTAACAATCAATGATTACTCTCTGAAAACTAGAGAAACGATTTTCCTTTGTGCATATTTTTTCCATAGAAAAAGCCCATTATATATAGCAGCTAACAAAAATCTTCAGGGAGAAAATTTAGAAGTAAGAGGAAATTTAGAAGAAGGAAATTCCTCCACTTCTTCTGCCTAATTGTATGATCTTATTGATAACAATGAACAAAAACAAAAACTCGATTGACTGTGCAATAATAAATTTTATTATTGAATGACATTAACAAAATTTATTAATATGATAAATAGCTTTAGTGTCTTTGACTATTGTTAGGTCTAAAAGGGAATATTGATTTATTCTCATATTGTATTTCAATTGAAGCATTGATGAAAATTTTGATTAAATTAAGTGATTTCCTTTTTCTTTTTTATGGAAAGACAACCATTGTGAAGATTTGTCGAATCATAAGAAACGGGATTTTATAATGATGGTTTAATCAATGAAACTGCTCATCTAGCACAATTTTTCTCTAAAAAATGAAAAAATTAATTAAATAGAATATCACGACTATGAAAAAAATGAAGGATGTTGTGTTTGTGATGATCGATCTGATGTTAGGGATTGAATAAAATGATTAATAACAACATACGGAATGGAATAAGAAAATACGTGATTTTCTCGAAAACAATCTTCTATCAATACTGATGGTATTTATTTGATGATATATTGTAAGTAAATACATTTTTTACTCGAACTCATTCTCAAACGCATTGATGAAAATTAATAAAAGCTTCCACTACTCTATTATCGATTTATTGACATACTAAATAGAATGAAACTAAATGTTGGGTTTTTAGACAAATAAATATTGTTGATTTATAACTGGTAATCAACTTTTCTTTTTATATTCTATATATATATTGCTCAAATTGGTCGTTGAATTGAATGAGTACGTAATCCATTTAATACAGAAAAATTCTTATCACGTCATGTTTCATATACAGGTTATATTAATAGTCAGTGAGGATTTGTTCTTTTTTTTAGTCATCAATAACGAATTGGTTTACAAGCAGTTAATACCGATATAATACAAAAGAATATTTTTGAACTTTGTATCTACATCTTTGATTAGAAAAATTTAGAAGATTTATCATAATGGTAGGACGATGATGGGCATGATAGAAATAAAAGATAAGAAACAGTCATCAAATTTCAAAGAATAATGTATTAGTTTAATCAATGATAATCATAATGTTTGAATAGGATTAGTTGATACACAATGCATTCTAATTACTTCTGTTAGTTACATGTGTACAAGCTTTGACAAAATAAAACTCGCGTTTTTTTTTCTTTTTACTGCTTCTGGTTCTCGAAGAGAGTACAATCGGTCAGATTGAAATTTTTAACACAGATGCTCGGAAGTATTTTCTAGATTTATAATCAGTCGTTTTTTGTTTTTGACCCTCATGCTTGGATTTATAGGATTCTAAAAGCTAAATCTCTGGCTTTTACTCTGATCCTTTACGTATTTTTCTCATAAAAAAGAGATTCCGAAAAAGTTCAAAATTGCATCTGAGATATAGTTTTAGATATCTTCAAAAAAATTGCAGCCTGATCGGTTGTACTCTTTTCGAGAAGCAGGAGTGATCAAAAAAAGAGGGGAGTACCTTGAATCCAGAGTTTTATAAGTATATAAATAGCAAGAGTTAAAACTAATCTTAGTTCGACATCTGTTCTTCTGGTATAACTCTCGTGAAAGTCAAGAGACTATAGTTCATGATTTGTTTTCTTTTTTATTTGAGACAATATTGCATATTATTCTTACAGACTACATTATTTTGATCCTTTATTAACAAATAATGCTTGATGGACTATTCAACTTTAATAAGTTACCCTTGAATATTGAAATTTTCATGACTGGATTTCGTAATTCCATGTTTATTCAATTCGAATTCATTGAAGCATAGAAAAGTGTGTGCAAAACTCATTTTTACTGGATGAAGATATTTTTTCAGCTCTCAAAAGTTCTTTAATTGATCGAGAAGAGTTTTTGAAAATCTTTATTATGTGAAGGAATTATGTCTCTGACATTTGTATAAAACATTAATGTCATCAATTTCAAGCAGTAACACTATGTTTTTCTAAGTTCAACATGGCAAATGTTAATACACACAAAAAATATAATGTTGAGCTATTTCAATGATAAATAGAAATGACTAAGATTCTTTTCATGTCTAAGTATGTACTATTATAAACAGAACTTTTTCATTCTTAGTAGTCATTGTTTAAGGACAAACAGTTCAAGTATATTCTAAAACAATTTTTTTTGAATTATCAAAAAATCTTTTTAGTATACTCATGAATTTCAAATGAGAATATCAAGATGTTTCATACACAAAGATGATAGAAGTAGTACGCCCTAGTTTTAACATTGGTACATAAAAAGCTAGTTAGTGTCATTAACAGCTTGTCATCTAGCTTGATGTAAAGAATTAGCAGATATTTCCATATTGAATTACTCTTTCGTGCTGTTAGTCATTTTGATGCTATAAGATGTAAGTAGTCAAAAAAAGACAACTTATAATTAATTTAGTTTACAGAAAAAAAAAATTCCAATACTAGTGGATTAGAGAACAAGCTATTATTAATATTAACAAGGAATTTATTTCAATGACTTATTGTCATATACATCCCTTTATCTACGAAACAATGTATACAATTTCTTACTTAAAAAGAAAAGAGTCCTTTTTTTTTCTTTCATTTATATTACGTAGTACTAATCTCAGCTTCAAGCATGATCTTCTATTTCCAGATGGAGATTAATAAACTATATTTTCCCATATTCATTCATTCTAAACAAGTCATTATTTTTTTCTTACAATGAAGGTATTTGTATTGTAACCGAGTTAGACTTGATATTTTGATGTCAA